GATATTATATGCAGATAAATAATAAGAAATATCACTATTCTCTTTTGTCTACAATTATTCCGAGTCAAGTTCAAAAACATCCAACACAAAACTTGCGATAGTTAGTATCTTTTTATAAATAACTAAGAGCATTCCTGAAGATTCGTTAAAGAGAATATATGTTAGAGTAAAATAATGAAATTCAACAACTAAGTGTTTATCAGTGAGGGGTTGTGTAGATTATTAAGTTTTTATTTGATATCACTGGACGACCGTTTAGTTTTAGTATGGGACTCCTGGAAAGTGCGCATACACGATCCGTCATGCGGGACTTGAAACCATGACCTTCAGCCACGCGCGCAAACTCTTAACCCCTAGATCACGGGGCTGGCATCCAACGGTGTTAATGTATAACTTCAACAAATCTACGAAATTGTGCGACCATGTCCCATTGTCCGAGGTAGATATCTATCTTTACTTAATACGGGTTAGCTCCACTGGTCATGGCTTCTCACTAGAACTCCGAGAATTCTCTCACGATGCTAGTTATTATTGAGCGCAATCCCATACTCATAATTACCATGTGCTGTGTACTATTTATTAATGTTGTTTTATTATAGGTATGCCGATTTGTATTGCAAATGGGTTTTTAATGTAGTGAGCACAGTAATAAAAGTCAATCATTTTATGCAGTATAAACAAAAGAATCCGTTTATTTATCATAAGATAAGCTAAATATTATTTTATCCAAAAAGTTAGATTCATGATACCCCAACGGTATTGTTAAGATAGAGTCATAATTTACTGATACCAAGCTACTAAAAACGGCATACTCGGATTATGTGTATACAGTCCATGGGACTTTGATAAACAAGGTGATATTAATTGACAGAAAAACTATATACACTTGATAGCGTGCAATCGAATGATGATAAGCCATTCTGATCTGTATCAGCTGGACATTTTGTAGATGTGACGTATAAAGCAACTTTTAAAACAGTAGCTTACACTCCGTTAAATCAAACTTAAACAGTCAGAACATATATTTTTAAAACCTAAAATAGAATGATGTAAGAACTAAGGAGCCAGTTGTAAACGATTCTGGTATCACAGTCTTCATGATCCCACTACACTTCTAAATTCAAAATCCATTCCTTTTGTTAATTATATTCTGTAGGCTTCGCAGGCCAGAATCAAAATTTCTAGTGGTGAAGAAGGCATTAATATCCGCCGAGTGGTAATCACAGGAACTCTGAGTGCAGTACAGTCTGCTCATTCACAAATTAGTAACAGGTGAGGAATTTATGGTTTTACTCAGATCAATTTATATTCCTAAGACATAGCAAACTTAAACTTTTGTTAAACTTAATGTTACAAACTTTGTGAAATTGTGCGAAATCCATTCGTTTCTTTAAAATATATGGACAAAAAAATCACAGCTGATAAATACAGGAAAGAAAAATATTCTGATGGTGTGCAGATAATTGGACACAATCTAGAAGCTGCAATTAGCCGAGACGTGTGTATCAAAACGGCAACATGCCACACTAAAATATAGGATTATGGAGGCGCTCGCCCACATAAGCAGAACTTATTTTGACTAACTTTGAATGAAAAGTGAGAGTTAGTCAGTAAACACCATTTGGATTTCTAAGTAACCTTTATTTCACTGGGATGAACAAGAATGTTGGTCAAAACTTTTAAGACGTGGAAAGCAACTACTTACCAACTTCGAAAACTGGGTCTCCAAATTTTTGTTATGTAAGAATTTACAGATAACTGTGAAATCCATATTTTTTGTCACGTTATTCACTTTATTACATTTCTTACATATTTTAAATTTGGTTAGCCGAAGAAAATAACTATTGTTAATCTCTTAATCATGAAAAAGATTAAGCAAAATGTTAACTACTCTCAGTATATTCGGTTTCATGCAAAGTATCAAGGCACCATACTGCTACACTGAGTTAATGTCACCAAAAGTTGTTGTTCTGACATGAGAAATGTCAAGAGAACATTCATTTCTATGAGAGAAAAGAAATAATGAGTTGAATTTTAAGCCAATAGTTTATTCCCATAATTAGGTAATAGCAATAAGACAAACAATTTGAGTGAACTTTAAGGTTGGACTTCATTAGATTTAGTTTATTTATAATGATGAAAAACGATTATTTTAATGACCTTTTTTGCCTTATTTATTTGAATGATAGTATTGAGTTACACAAGCATATATTGGCACTAAACATAGCAATGAAGAATGTGTTTTCATCGAGGAATGACTTCAAAGATGAGTTAACAGACCAATCTAGTAAATCATCTAACCACTCCTCAGATGATCTAATTGAGAATTCTGGAATAAATATTAATAATGACATTCAAAGTCACACCTCTAACCGAAAGAATCTACCGAGAATAATAAATGACGTGACTGCTGGATTATCCGATTCTCAAAATATGAAATCTATGTTTCCATGTAGGATACAGTCAGACTTAAGAAAAAGTCAAAATACCATTCTTCATTCAGCACCTGAAAGAAAAGAAACACCATTCCGATACGAAAAAGAATGTTCACCCATCTGTTGGGATCGACAAGGCAGTGGTTTGCAAGTACCCAGAGAATCTAGAATTGGAAGTATCACCCAAACAACACGAATAAGTACACCAATCCTATCTGCTGACTTATTTAGACAGAAAGCCCATTTGGATGTAGCAGACACGAAGCAACTAAGTCCACGTAATGTTCTTAATTTTATTCAAAAGCTGCAACACACTTCTCAATGACTTAGGATTTATCAAACATCAAGGAAAGTGACGACTACATAGGGTTCTAGTTATACCTTCTTTCAGGATCATTACTAATAACTGATCTATCTTTTTATGAGACCCACAAGTCATTAATTTTTTTTCCATAAGTTGTCGAAAACTGTCGCAATGACTTACATATCCTTAAATTTACAAAAGAAGTGCTCGCAGTTCTACAAGAAAAGTTACTCCATCCATTTAGCCTAATATATTATAGTTCCGTTTATGTCCTGATAAGTTTTAAGTCACAGATAATCAAAATTTATTTAGAATGATTATTGATGTTTCCTGGATATTATTAGATAAAAACATATGTATTCATTCACTGTACCACTTTTCTTAACTTTCATTTTGCATCAATATTGTAATCAACCTATAATATAGTATCATGTTTATTTAAAAATCAATTACTTCTGATATAATCAAGCTTTATAACTAAGTTGATTGGATGCAAAAATGCCAACCATTTATGTTAAGCATAAGAGTGAAAGATAACATAATCGCTGACAGGTAAAGTACTGGTGAGGCGTCGTCGAGTAAATAAAAACGGCTCAGTTCCTGATTATTATTTCGCTGAAGTCTCAAGTCAGATGAAGTGCACTCGTGAGCTCAACCACAAATGATAAAGGACATGAAATACTTCTTTACAGTTTACACTCAGAATACAATAGATAGTTTCCGAAAACTCTTCGGTGCTTCTTTGCATTTACCTGGTTGAAAAGATGACTGACTCAACCTTTCATTCTATGGTGAGCGACTTAGTAAGAGTATCAGTCTGTTGATTTCAGGACACATATTTTGTACAATGAATTACTTTCAGTTTTTATAGTAACGGAATAAAGTAAGCTTTTCGTAAACTGATTAACTTATTTAAGCCTTGATCGTTAAAATCAATGATCAACCCATTAGACAATCACTCAGTTTAGTAACTCAAATATACTAGTACCCAATTGAGATGAACTCGACCAAACTCGAAGTGAATGGTAATTTGAGTGCTCAAAATAAATAGACCAACTAGGTATTAGGTATGAATTGATTCCCCAAAACAGCGTGCTGTGTGCACACAACCCGTGAATGAGAATAACATCAAATGGTCTAGCTATCAACGGTTGAATAGGATGGATTTATGACAATACAGTTAATACAAACCCGAAGTAGTGGCCTTAGTACATGTAATCAAATACATTATTATAAAAAACATACTGTCGACACTATTTCGCGTGACGAAATTGGATCGTTTACCCAAACTCGCAGGAATTTAACCGATCTGGTGACATTGAAACAGTTGTGATAATTCGACTAAGATTCGTGAGAAAATTACTGTAACTTGGGAATTATACAAAACAATAGGTTGAGATACCTGTTGTGAAATTATCGTGCTTAGGAGCAAATAAAACATCAAGTCCTTCGAACAAGTGAGGCTAATAAATTTGAGGAACGACTGATTAGTCGGCAGGTGTTACAGAGAAACTACTGAGGATCTCATGCTAGGGAAGGCAACATATATAATTGAAAGGAAATGAGATGGTACCAAGAGCATCTAAAGCAGGTAGTAACATAGCGAGCAGACTGTCTCAAATGTCTAAATAAGACGTATTTCGATAAAACCAATAAATGTGAATAATTAGTTGACGAAGTCTACTCTAAATCACAATACACAACGTTAAACCACAGAATCGACCTTGTGACCACTACTAAATGGAATTGTTCTAACAGCATGATCCAATAAATCTATGTTTAAAGGGATAAAAGGTAGATCATAGTAACGGTGATTTTGGGCTATTACGCGGTCCAGTTAGTGGATCAAAAATGCTAGCGTAACTAGATGTTATTTCCTTTATTCGTCTTAGGAATGATGGGACAATATAATAATCTCCGCTAAAAATACCAGTAAAAAATCACTTCATATTATTCACGACACTCTACAACAAATTAGTTTGTGTTCTGAACACATAGGTTAAGATTGAGAATACAGAAATCCAATCAAATATTATACAGTCAATGTGTTTGTATGATTTTTGATCATTTTACTTAGAATACGTGAACTAGAGCATCTTAATATGAAATGACGTAGTTTTGTATCTCAAATAACCGAATAGTATACTTCTAATAAAAAGTGGATATGAGTTTGTTAAATCACATAGACAGACTAATCACCATTAATAAATCTGAAAGGTTGATAGGTTTTTTTCCTGCTTGGGCATATCAAAATACAGAATACGTAGAGAATGATTTTATTCACAAAATGAAAATTATTGATCGTAAAACACAAACGTCAACTTCAAATGAAAATGAATTAAAACATATTCGTAAGCAAGAAACACTGGGTTGAAACGAGATGACAATAAGAAACAAAATTTTCAAAACTATAAAATGGAAACAAAATGTAATGCCAATTCAACATCTACATATATCGAAGAGTGAATGATACGTAGATAAACAGACATAAACTGTTTTCACAAAAGACACAAAACTACAGTAACAAATAACATAACGGGAGAGATGATAATTACGATTATGTCTCACCAATCCAAAGAAAACATGCTTGTAAGGTTTAGGATTAAATAAGCTATACGAACACATGTTTCAGGAATGAAATCCAAGGGAGTAAGTTTATTCCTTTCGTGAACGTCGTTTTCTAATAGACTGTTTTGCAGCCGAAGCTTTCTGAAAGGGATAATATAAACTTAATAAAATAAACATGAAACTTAGAAGTGACTTGAATGACTGTTAACCAATCCACATAAACATCTAACTAATTTTAAAGTAACCACTATACTGAAGCCATTTAAGAACCAAGATTAACTAAATATGTCATACCTCGGTTTCTCCAGATTCATCAGGAGTTTCCTCTCCGGAGTTATCTCTGCTACTCCCTGTTTTATTTGCGGTTGATTCATCACCGGAGCCTTTAGAAATTTGGACAATATCTTCTTCGCCAGATTCTTCTAATTCTTCGGTTTCTGCATTTCTTTCACCAACATGTACATGAGAGTCGTCCGGCGTGGATGTATCCGTCTTCTTGCGCATACCAATATCATGTTGTTTGGATGGTGACCGGCACATATAGATACAGCATAAAAGAATGGGTAATGTACAAACAAGGCCAACTACAAATATAAGCCAAGGTTTCTCATTATAGGTTTCTCGTATAGCATCCACAACGCTTTGCTGTAAATAAAAAACAAATGATCGATAGATGAAAATAAAAAGAATCCAAGCAATGGCATAAAATCTCTACAAACTGACATTTGAATTATTACTAATAATGCAAATTGGACCGATGCATATATGTGCCTGGTCCTACGTTGCAGCTGACTGACTGACTGAATAATGCAACACAACAGTACAATCAGAAAACAAGATGGCTAATAAACAAGCAAAAACACAGCTTCAAATTGTTAAACAGCATAAATAGAACTTAACATTATAAGTGTAGTTCAAAGGCAAGAGCAAAAGATCTGATACTTAATAACTGAGTTGTATTACCTTATCTTAATAATACTATGAAATATTCGGTTACATTACCTAAAATCCAGCTACGTATATTACAAAAAAACGAAATTCTAATATTCAATACCAAAAGGACTTACTGCTTTCGGATCGGCTATTCTTTCAGCTTCCTTTTTAATTGCCCATGTTTCTTGAGCAAATTCATCAGCCGCGCGCTTTGAATCAACAATCAGGAAGTTGTCAAAAGTAATGCCGTCAGTCATGGACCATAATTCTAGACCTATTGCGTTCTAGGAATAAAGTTAAGGTAATTGAATTATGAATATAAATAAAGTTCTGGACTACGATAAACGTAGATTATTTGTTAACTTAGCATTCAAAATAGTCAAATACGAACATACATACAACAAACTTAGCAACAATACTTTACAAGCTATAGCGTTGCTAAAAAATGGTCACAAGGAAACTGTGAGAATCGCATTGCCAACAAAGTCTGGAAAAGTGGGATGCGAGAGATACAAGTTGTTGATTTCACATGACCGACTCCATTGCAATTTCAAAAATACATCCGGCAAAATACTACTCGATAATATGGAACAATATGGTCACCAAAATCACAAACAAGACCATAAAAAGTAACGATGGGAACAAGGGCATCATTCATAGAGACATATCAAACTGACTGTACAACTAAGCAACAAAAATTCGATAATAAAATATGAACGTTATGTAGGTATCAGGTTTTCAACACATTTACTACGGGAAGGTGTAACACATCAAGAATGAAAAAAATCGATTCCACATCACCTAAACAAAAGCAAAATCATTTTTAGAACCCTCAAACCAATAATGTTTTGATTGGTGTGATTATTGATAACTAAACTGTATGAACAGCTTACATTGAGAAAAGTATTATGAAGTTGTAAGAGTGGATGTTATGAACTCGTGAGTATTTGATTTTGTATTTGCAGTTATAAATCTCACAAAAAGAAGAAAAAGGAAACTAGAAACCAAGCATGGATAACATTGTCAAATTAGGTGAAATCGTTTTTACGGTAAGCTGTTACTATCACATGAAACTAGAAAAATACTTTACGAGACGAGTTGCAGAGTCCATAGGAAGTTTTCAGGATCCATCTAGTCATTATCAAGGTAGGAGCTGGCATTAATATGTACCGACCCAAGTTGTGACACTTTAAATTACCACACTAAGAGAAAACTGACAACTTGAGAAACACAAAATCGGGAACTATATAATGCTATAGAAATCTAAACCTGAGAACTACAATTCAAAAAAGATAAAGAAACAATTCTAAATTGATACAGCCATCTGTTACTTCAGTAACCATAGTTTTCATCGACACTATATATCAAATGAGTTTACCTGGTGATAATAATAAGGTTGATGTAAAAATAATACAACAAATGACCCATAAGATTATTGCAAAATCAAATCTTTAAAACAAAAACAGGTTTCACAACGTCCTATACATTCGAGTGACATAAAACAATATATTCAAGGATCATCATATAGTACAACTTAAACTAAGTGCATCACCTACCACTTCAGCTAAGCTCTTGAAAGGATTCTTTTCTTCAAAATAATGAGGGTTTGGAATTTTCCTTGGTGTCCAAATACCCTTATAATTTGGATTAGGAATCATTGGAGCAGACCATTTGCCCTTGTATTTTGGATTTGGTATAACTGGTCGATGCCATTTACCGCACCCAGGTGCACTAGCACATTTAGGATTGTTTATTTGTGGTGCAACCCACTCACCATCCATTTCACGATCCCTAAAAAATTAAATAAATAACTTCAAATAACTGAAATGGTTAATTTACTTGCATCCACACTAACATTTAATAAATGAAATACGATAAGTATATATATATATATATATATATATATATATATATATATATATATATATATATATATATATCACGAATAATAGACAGTGGGCTTTAGTTACAGCATTAACAGTCACACAGTAACAAGAGATTAGAAAAAGCACGATCTAGGACAGTACTGAACTCATTTCACTTACTATACTTCCTACTAAAACAAAGAAAAACAGATGGTATGTCGAAAGAACAAGAGTAGATAAGTTCAGTAAAGATCTGTACTTTTTCATTAATTAAAATTATCTGAAACAATGTTTGATATCTCTAAATACGTGGAACAGAAACAAGTCTTAAATGTGATTTACAAGTGATAGAAAGTCCATAAGTTAGTGTCGTCAATGAAGTGGAGACTAATAGTGATTTTGAGTAGCCAAACTAGTACTATACTAAGGGTTAGTTACTTCTGTGTCAACACTATGACACTATTTACTGGACGTCATGAGATTAATGTGACTCAGGAATGAAACTAATATTAACACAAAAAATGGAGGGCTTTCAGAAGCTCGAAAACAAGAAATAACGAAGTTACTACTTAAGATCTTTCTAATTTTATAAGCGCTACTCATTTCAGTTTTCCAAAAGTAGTGTTATAGACAACGTAAAACTCCTAAATTCCAAAGTTAGGATCTTAGGATTTTATACGTTTATACGCTTCGGTTTGGGCACCCGGGCAGTATCACAGCCCTCACACAAATCAATTGAGATTTGTGTGGCGCATATGTATTTGGTACCTCCCTGTACCTATACTTATGTGTTAAAATAAAATAAATAATAAATAATCTTAGGATTTTATACGTAGTACATTACTATATACTCCGTCAAATTAAGGAAGAGTAATTTTAACCGGCTACACTGACTAAACAAAGCGCTTTGAATTTTCCGACTATACTATAAACGCGAACATGGTTTTGTTATACATACAACAGCATAAACACCCTTAGAATCGATTTCGTTATTGAATGTTGGCTCACTAATAGTGACATTTATTACATTGAACAGATAGTTGTAATATAATGTATAGCACCATCTACACTAACGATTTATAAAGCCTTTAAATCAAGAAACTGGAAACTACTAGTTTTGTTCCCTTTAGATATCACTTTGTTTTAGCGTTAAGAAAACAATTTTTCATCTAGCCGTAGACTGTGATAAGAATGAAAAAACTCACCAGTCTTTTGGAGGTACTGCAGCAGGGTCTGAAATCATCTCTGGTTCATCATCAAGCCATCCGGATGGTTTCACAGCACTTTCATCTTCGATAGTTGCAGGAGCATCTTCATCCCAGTCATCCGGCTTCTTGGCATTTGTATCGACAATCTTTTCTCTTTCATCCCAATCACTTGGTTTTTTATCGTCAGGATCATCAATTTCTTTGGGAGGATTAACTGGAGGACTAAAATAAGATTATTTACGTTGAATGGATTTGCGTAAGGAAAATTATTACGGGAAACCGATGCTATGATTATCCGAGGATGTTAGTCATAAACCATCAGGAAATAAATTTGAAAACAAACTGTTTAAACGATTATAAAAATCAAATTGGTGAGACTAATTACGCTCATACCATGCTTTCGAAGCAGTTATAGTGATGACGTATGTCCACTAATATAACAATAAGTATATACGTAATAAACATACATACCAAATGCTTGTGCTAATAACCATTCACCATGTAAATTTCATGAACCCAGAAATGAGATACTAACATCAATCCAGTTTGTTTTGTAGAACTACTAAGACCAACATTTACAATAATAATGTATTTCTAATGAAGACGTTTTCATTTCTTTGAACGTTGTAACACGTTGAAATTGGTGCACATAAGACGACTTTATCACACTCAAAAATAACACTTTATCTGTGCATTCATTAACTCATCTCCTACCAATGCACTAACAGACTTGAAATATCAGTCAATCAGCTACAACGTAGGACCAGGCATATATGTGCCTCGGTCGAAGTTGCCATACCTCATTAACACAACAAGATGAACACCGAATTCATAGTAGTTAATTCAGTGGTGGTAATATATAAAAGAAATATGCAGAAATAACAATCCTGTTCTGTAAAGCGATTACAAAATAGTGCCCTTTGTTTACATTTATTGGGATTTTAAGCTTTAATATTCCTATTTGCCTTATATTTCTTTCGAAACGTTTTTAGGATCAATCGCACTAGTAACTTGGCATTTTCGTTCATGTGTGGCAACCGGAATGAAAGCACTTATCGGGATTCAAATTTTTAGACAAATTCGACTATGCATGCTCTTTAGCCGGTCTTGAGGGTAATTATACCATAAACAATTTGATAGCCCTTATAAATTCTTTTAATTATAATGAATAATGCTTTACATATAAGCTTCCAACTTCGAATGGTGTGGCTCAAAATCGTTTGCAATGGTGAAGATGCATCCATTTTTTACGTTCTCCCAAATTATAATCTTCTGAATTCTTCATGTCCCTTTTTTTCTCTTTCCAAATTTAATTCACGGAATTATACTTCTTAGATAACATCTTCAAACCCTAGTCTTTCCGATGACTGCTTATACATATATTAACTCTACCAGTATGGAATTTGAATCGACAACTACATCTCTGTGCTAATGTGGTATGGCGACTCGAACTGACGTACGAACGTACCAAGTTCTACATTGTTACTGACTGACTGTCCAACTTCGTAAAAGCTAGTCAGTTTTAAGATTTAGAGGAAATGACAGGAGGAAAATTGACAATGAGTATTTCACGTGTTCTTATATATTTATTTCATTGTTATTTTATTTTAACACATAAACATTGGTACAAGAGAGGCACATATGCTTCACTCTATTAGGATGTGAAGAGACAATGTAAGGTATGAGAAAAAGGGGAACAATAACGAACAGAAATCAGTGTATGATAGGGAAATAATAATAAAGTGAGGCAGTTCGGTTAGCGAGGGTGATACCAGAAAGAATTCTTACAGTTCGAGTTATGTCTATTTTTTATGAAGTGAAATAAAGTTACAGCTCGACCGCCACTGGCTTCTATTCTGAGCCATATCTGATAACGTCGCTAGCACCTGTGTTGCACCCCCGTAGGACCCCAACCAGGGAGTCATGAAGGACCAACACAAGCCAGCCCTTTGCAGCTTTCTTTCATACCACGACACCATGTCATACACTAACCACCTCTCCGCATTTCGCAACCAGTCCCAGCGTCGTCAAGTAATGCACGACGTGGAATTCTCTGGGATGACATTCGTAGAACATGCCCAAGCCACCGAAGTCGATGTTTCAAGATAGTGACACCAATTGAATTATCGTGGCTGTGCCCGAACACATGATGCCGAACCGCTGCATGACTAACATAGTGTTGCCACTGGATGTCAGCAATCCTTCAGAAACGACAGTCGAACACAGAGTCGCCTAACATTCTCAACTCGGAGGCCAGAGTTCACAAGCATAGAGAAAAACTGCTCTCACCGACGCCAAACTAACATCATAAATGCACCAAAGATTGCCCAGATTGGCATAAGCCGCTCTGGTTTTCACTACACGCAAATTGATCTCATCACTTATACAACACCAGCACTTATGCAGCTACCTAGATACACGAACTTCTCGACTACTTCTATCTGCTCACTACCCAGGGTGAGTACAGGATTAGAATCCTGCCAGTCTTGTAGAAGTACTTTGCACTTCGAAGGTGCAATGCACACACCATACCTGCAGACACTAATTGCCAACTGATTAAGTGTGAGTTGCATGGCTTGGGTATTATCGCACAGTAAGACAATATCATCCGCATACCCAAGGTTGAGAAGCGCTTCTACAGGCAAAAGATCCACACCGCCATTACTTACATCCATCAGAGCTGTTTCCAGAACGTCATCGATAGCAAGTTGAAGAGGAATGGTGAGATTGGGCAACCCTGTCTAACCCTGCTGCTGGAATGGAACAATGGAGAGAGGTGGATATATGTCCTCACTCTGCCTGAGATGTTAAGATGCTAATAAACTCAGCACACCCTATTTCGATAGGCAATCGCAGAGAACAGCCACGTCCAACGAAACGAAGGCAGCCCCGATGCTGGTCTGTGATAAGTATGATGGTGTTTCAATATTTGGCGAAGGGTTGAGATACGATCAAAATAACAATTGCCATAATGGTATGGCTTACAGAAACCAATGAACGCATAGACTGATGTCAAATTTTCGCCTACCCTTCTCAGACCTTTTCGGATCTACTATCATGACAACCAGCAACATAAGACCAAACAAGTAGTACAGAAGAGTATGGAACTTATTTTACTGTCACTTCGATTAATGAAGATTTATAAACTTGATATTTCTGTTAGATATTTCGCAGCTAATTTTACATTAGTGTTTATGGCACAAACGAGTGATACTCCAATTATCTGTAATCGGGTATTAGAAACCTGTGTTTCAAGGATTATTAGATAGCTATTTTGTTTGAAAAGTTGCATTGATACATGTCCTTCAGTGATCACTTTTCTCATTGAGAATACAGTACGTTGATTGTGCGGGAGGAAAGTGGTCGACCGTCTAACGATTTGCAAATATGAAGTATTTCAAGGATAAGCAAAGTGAACTTGATATTTAGCCGTGCGTGGGTTTTATTAATTTAGTTTCGGATTACGAAGTAACGACGCTCCCGCCTGATTTGGAGGGTCGACCTACCATGAAATTGAATTGTTTGCTTGAAATCAACACAGGATATTACGTTTTGGTGATGTTAGCGAAATATAACTTGACCGTTTCGAGAAACATCGAGGTGATAATTAAAATGCATTTCTTTTTCTAGGACGGATACGCGTGTGGTTAGAGGCCGGGTGACACGGCCCAGAATTGTAATGGGTTGAATGTATTTTCTTTTCCGTTTTAGGTCCTAAGTTATTTATTTATTTTATTTATTTGAACACATAAATATTGGTACAAGGGGGCACCAAATATATATGCGCCACACAAAACAATGATAATTTGAAGAGAAGGAGAAAAAAAAAGTAATGAACGTGGGGAATTATAAAAAAAGAGAGAGAGAACAATGATGGGGAAAACGGAAAGGTACAATCAGAAGAAATCTTTCAAGTAAGGAAGATACAGCCACTTTTTATGAAGAAAGTAAAAGAAGGTTACAGCAGGATCGCCATTGGCTTCTATTCTGAGCCATATCTGATAACGTCTCTAGCCACTGCGTTACACCGTCTCTCGGACCCCAACCAGGGAGTCGTGAAGGACCAACAGAAGCTAGCCCTTTGCAGCTTTCTTTCATACCACGACACCATGTCATACACTGACCACCTCTCCGCTTTTTTCAACCTGTCCCAGAGTCGGCAAATAATGCACGACGTGGAATTCTCTGGGATGATATTCGTTGAACATGTCCAAGCCACCGAAGTCGATGTTTCAAGATGGTGACACCAATTTTATTATCGTCTGTGTGACCGAACACACGATGCCGGACCTCTGCATTACTGACATAGTGTTGCCACTGGATGCCAGCAATCCTTCGGAGACAACGATGATCAAACACAGAGTCGTCTAACATCCTCAACTCGGAGGCAAGAGTTCACAAGCATAGAGCAAAACTGCTCTCACCGTCCTAAGTAGGCTTGTACAAAATGCCTTTGTTCCCTCTAATTCCGTTAATTCATATTTTCGTCTCAAATTGTATCGTATATGCCTAATCTTTCCTATTATTACTGACACTAACTCGATTACCTTGGGATTTGCTTAGACAATTTTACTTTGCTGTGATTTCGTGGTATGGCAAATTAAGCCGGCGTATACAAGAACCAGGTTCTGGGTTGCATACAACTAAATACCTAGTCTTTTGAGACCACACCGGTTTGCATTTTTTTTCGACAACTATTTATGGTCAGACCTAACATAGAACATGGGACGATGTTACATCAGACTTGATTGCAACACATTTCCAGTTGACATATAAAGAGGGAAGATGCGATGGTATTAAACGTGATAAAATCCATACAGAAAAAGTGGTTCCTAATAAGATAAAATCAAAGAACAGAAAACAACAGCAACAGAAGTGATACTGAAATGAAATTATTATACTACAAATCTAAGCTCTTCGTCCCAATCCCTGATTTAGCATCCATATTTCTGGATCTAAGATAAGTGAATGTTTTTAATACTCTGAGAAATGTGGGAGGGTATAAGGAGACAAAATTAGGACATCTTAAACTAAGATATGGAAATGCCAAAAAATAATGCCTCATAGACTTACTCAAAATCTTCAAGTAGGCTGCCACTTTGAACCTTAATCTGGTCGATGTACCGCTCAAATGAGTTATCCGAACGTAAAACTACACCAAGTATATGATGGGGTATTCAACTAACCTAATGTGTAAAGGTGTGTCTTCTTGTCTGAAAAGTATGACTCCAGTTCTGGAACAACCTTTTTAGCGTGCTTTTCCTCATACACACCAGTTTTGGGATTTTTGTGACGGAAAATAAAGTGGAACTAGAAATAAAATTATTGCATATTTTTTAAGTACTTTGTTCTCTAGTCCACATTTGTCAGGACCAAACATAATTGTATACGGAGTTTTATCATTAAATTGTTTCTTAACGATGTTAACAAAACTCTAAGAATTTACCAGGTCCAAATTCGGTGAAGCACTCAACAACTTTATGTAGGCGCCACCACAATCGATCCCATCTTGGAACTTGACATCATACTGGATAACAAGCTCGTTGGTATCAAACTTTAATGGTTTGAACAGTTTTGTCGAAACAGCATGATGTTTGGCCTTGGATTTGAGTACCAGTGCATGATCATTTTCTATTGCACTAGTATATGGCACTTCAACAGACCAAACACCATCATACTTGGCGATTGAGTCATCTATACCATCTTTGCGTGCCTGGGAGACTACAAGTCTGGAGAGAGAGTTAGAAAACAGGTCAGTTACTTTTCAGTAATATCTGATGGTGAGTTGAAGAACAGTGCAAGGTAGGCATTTTTAGGGATATTTGGGTTCTTGAATGACGGCTAAGGAATTTAGAATTAAAACGTACATACTCTCTTGTTTTCGACTTCAGGTGCTGTAGCAGCATCCTCAGCCTTACATATCCATAGACAGAAAGGCAAGTACAAAAGAATGAATCTTAAGACCAACATGACTTCACGTCTATCCGTAACCTGGCGCTAGACTATTTTTAATCGTGCCTGTTCCTTATTGGTTAATTAGAAGAACTGAAGCGATTAAAACAAGTAAAGTTACAATCACTAGAAGGTATGTAAATTTAAAATCCCAAGTAGATTCTTCACACACGTACGATGTCAGTAACACCAGAAAAACGAATTAGTTGTTGGATCTGTTATGTTCGTTAAGACCATATAACAATATTAGGCATCTGAATGTGGTCATTTTTAGAAGTCCTGTTGCTGAAATTTAGTCGGACAGTTGAATGTTAACATCATAGCTTTATATAACCATATTTTGATTTAGAACACTCTGTCCCTTGAGTCAACTTGACTGAACAAGAAACATTAGAATGGACGATTCTTTCGAAACTAAATCCTCCAAAATCACAGATCTGAAGATTTTCAGATATTCTAAGGAATAGAAACTTATGTTATGCTGTATTTTAATTGTTGATACTTGCTATATTCTTGAGATGTTATTATATGGTGAGCATTGTACCTTAGTTTTCCATTTTATTTGGAAACCAAATATACTCATCCTATCGACCAAGCCTGAAGGTAAGTCTTGAACAAGCAGTCAAATCAATCCAAAAGCTTGATTTTAATACTCTTTGGTAATTTTTATTCAGAAAAACGAATTACAAGTAAAACAGTCTCGACTGGTTTAAAGCTCCTAGTAGATTACCACTTCACAGAAGCACACCCAATCATTCCCAGTCCTGAAGCTTACATGAATATTAGTACACACAAATACACGTAATGACAGGAAATTCTCATGAAAGATGCAAACAGAGTATATGCATAAGTAGTATTCTAATTTTGTCGGGGGAATTTTTTGGCCCTTAAAACCTATTCCATCCATGCTGCAACTCTTCGTAAACTCTCATGCATTGTAACGGAAAGAGAACGATGAAAATTCCTCCACAGCATTTTTTGTTGGACAGTATTTTCATTTATTTGTTTCTCCTCCCTGTTATATATTTTAACCTTTGTTCAGATCTCGTTTGAGCTTTTATTATGTAATTTTGATTAATAACTTATCTTTTTGTTACCCTTTTGATACATCTTCATGTCATGGCTCTAATACTAGTTTGGTTAGTAGGCATAGCAAAATTAGCTCTAGCATCGCCCTAGCAGAGTTAAAAGAAAAGCATTTGAGGGAATGACAACTAGTAGAGATTAGAGATTTGGAAGATAGGCAGAGAAAGCAGCTGTTATGCCTTCAGAGAGAGTTGGGGACGTTAAGACTAAAAGAGAACATGTGTAGTAAAGCATCTTCTGCCTCCAACTGTGATGACAGAGGACAGGAGTATGTCCACAGTTTCTCAAGCCGTCCTCATGACATTAGAATCAAGTCCCCAGAAATGTCAAAACAGTTAGACCATCCCGGAGCAAAGAAGAGGGAAGTGACCTTGACATCTCTAAGTGTGGGTCTTGAGTTCCCAACGGTTGAACTAAGTACTTTTGATGGTCAACCAGCCAAATATTGGAAATTTGCCAAACAATTTGATTTATATGTGGTATCGAAGATCGAAGACGATGGTCAACGGCTCTTATACTTGTTACATTATTGCAAAAGTAAAGCTCGAGAGGCCAATGAAGAATGCTTAATGCTTCCGCCATCATCGGGTTATCGTAGAGCATGCGACATACTGAAACGATTGTTTGGTAGAACACACGAAGCCGGGCTTTGCTAAAAAACTTGACTGAAGGTTCCAACATAGAACGCAACGATGGAGAAAGTTTATCTAGGTTAGCGATAAAGATGGAAAATTGTTCTATAGCCTTGGAACAAATGGATTATTCAGTGGATCTCAACTATGTAGTAACTATAGAATGTATAGTAAAGAAATTGCCTACGGCTTTACAGATGAAATGGGCTGAAACAGTCGGAAAGATAACAGCAAATGCTAGAGAGTCTACTTTCGCCGAGTTAACAGAATTTGTATCATATAGAGCAGAAATTTTACTCAGCAGATTCGGACAGATTGCAACAGCTAGTAAACGGGTTGTAAGCAAGGTGGCCTGTTCCACACAAGGATTGTCGTTGGGTAAAATTGTTAGCAAGTCACCTTGTTTTATACGCGGACAAAATCATAGGATTGATAAATGCTCCCAGTTCTCCATATTAGCAGTCAACGTTAAGTGGGAGAAAGCGAGAGAAAAATGTTTGTGTTTTTGTTGTCTTAGAAGGGGACACAGATCTGTGGATTGTAAAGATCGCGTTGTGTGTACTATCGAAGATTGCCGGGATGGGCATCACCCATTGTTGCATAAACCTTTTCAAGTTCAGGGTTGTTCGAGTGAGCGATTGAAAGAAAGTCATTGTGGATAAACAAAGTCACTAAAAGAGGATGTTTTTCTTGGTTTAATCCCTGTACGCCTTAGAGCTGGAGACAAGGAAGTTTGTGGATATGCGTTTCTAGACAATGGCTCCGATACAACTTTAATCAAGTCAAGTACCGTACAACGTTTAGCTTTGTCGTCAGAGAGTACGTCGATTACCATCAAAACAGTGAACGGAAATAAGTTAACAAGATCGAAAACCAAAGCCTTCATAGACTACTCATTAGGCGGAGACGAGTGTATATGTATTGAACAGGCTGTTGTAGTAGATGATTTTCCGGTGCATAGGCCAAGAATACCTGTGAAGGACAGTGCCAAGAAATGGTCACATCTTATGGACTTACCTTGGTTAGAATTGGTGGGTGGTGAAGTTATTTTGCTTATTGGTTGTGATGTGCCTGAAGCGCATTGGGCCCTGGACCAAAGGTTAGGTGAAAGAAAGAGTCCTTATGCTGTTAGAACACTGCTAGGATGGGTTATCTTGGACCAGCAGGTCACAACAAACATGGGGAAAGGATCGTAAATTATATTTCTCAAATTGATGCCCCTGTGGAGCATAGCTCGACGACTATTCCTCTGATAAATCATTGTCTCTGAATGATTCAAACGTAAGTAGCATAGTAGAGCGCGATGCTTATTTTGATGTAAGTTACAAAATTGTTCCTTTACCTAGAGGAGTTGCTGAGGAAAACGTTGCTGCCTCTGTAATCAACAATGGGTCTAGTATGTGTAAAGCTGGCTTCGTCGAAGACTACGCTTCAAGAGCCGTATCCTTTATTGTTGGAGGAACTAGACATCAAGGAGTGATGATGAGAATGGATCAAAAGGACAGTTATGTGGGAGACGATGCTCGATCGAGACATGGTATCCTGACACTGAAGCACCAAATTGAACATGGTATTGTGGTTAAGTGGGGTGATATGGAGAAGACATTTTACCATGCATTCTACGACGAGTTGGGAGTGGCGACAGAGGAACATCCAGTGTTGTTGACAGAAGCTTCATTGAACCCGAAAGCAAACCGCGAGATGACACGGATCATGTTTGCGACTTTTAATGCACCAGCTATGTATGTTGCTATTCAAGCGGTGTTGTCACTGTATGCATCTGGTCGTACTACTGGTATAGTGTTGAACTCAGGTGAGGGTGTGACTCACACAGTTCCAACTTATGAAGGTCATGCATTGCCTTACGTTATTTCGCGTCTGGACCTTGCTGGTAGAGATCTAACCGACTTGATGATGAAGATCCTGACTGAGACAGATTGCAGTTCCTCTGTTTATTTGTGGAACATACTCAAGCGCAAACCTCCGGACAACGTTTTGCTTTATAGTAAGTTACTAGTTTTAGTGAGAAGGAGGACCTATTGGGAAGCTGAGAATTCTTTGATTCCTGGAGTGGGCCGAATAGCAGCAGACTGTAGGTTAGGTTTATGGATGTACAGGCGTACTGTTGTAAGCCCTGTGCTTCCCATTGATATAGAGCAGTTGGTAAGGAGAGCCATGACAGGAATGTATTCTAAGATGTCTTTGTGTAGTTGGAGGGATTTTGGGGGCCGGTGTAACGGAAAGAGAACGATGAAAATCCCTCCACAGCATTTTTTGTTGAACAGTATTTTCATTTATTTGTTTCTTCTCCCTGTTATATATTTTAACCTTTGTTCAGATCTCGTTTGAGCTTTTATTGTGTAATTTTTAGTAAAAACTTATCTTTTTGTTACCTAATTTTTCACTGCATGTTGCCGGACTATTGACAGTAAGGTCGTGTTTGACTAAGCTTAAGGTCACGGCGTGATTCAGTGTGACTGTTAACCTTTTGACTGTCTGCTTGGGAGGATTTCTGGAATCCCTGCAGATAGATATTTGATCCCGTTTGTTGGGAATATATTTGTTGATCCTCATATATCAAATCCTTTGATATTGACCGTTTCTTTTGTTGTTTAGCGTACTACTTTGATTTAGACAAACTTCTGAATGTATAGCACAGGCTGTACAGTTTGAGAACTGTAGCGATCAAACTACCAGTATTCGGTCTGAACGCAGGACTGACGAACCAAAACGTGTTTGAATAGGTCAGACTACGATCTTCTGTAAAGCTCGTCAAGCGTTTTTTGAGACACTCGTATAAATTGAGCACAGAGTTTGTGTTTTGATATAATATATATTAAATTATATCAAAACGCAAACTCTGTGCTCAATTTATACGAGTGTCTCAAAAACGCTTGACGAGCTTTACAGAAGATCGTAGTCTGACCTATTCAAACACGTTTTGGTTCGTCAGTCCTGCGTTCAGACCGAATACTGGTAGTTTGGTCATTACATGCATCCTTTGTAAAATGTAGCTTCAGCGTAAGTTCTACAGAAGTTTCAAGAGTAAACTTGTATGTTAAAGTTGTCCACTGTCTACTGAGTCGTCTAAAAAATTTTCTTTCATCCGGATATTCTATCCTAAAAGAAGCTTGTAGGGATGATTAGAAAATAGTGGTGTGTATATAAATTTTGTTTACGTTTCTATCTTTTAAATCTTATCCACTTTGTATATCCTCCAATATTGTTTGCAAAGCCTGCTACCCAAAGTTTTGGTGTTGTTTATCAGGAACTCAAGGTAAGCGGCAGAGTCGTTTGATAACATAAGATAGAGATAAGAGCATAAGCACTCAGTTTGAGAGCTT